TGGAATTCTATAATCCATTTTTTTTTTTTTTGAGACAGAGTCTCATGGTGTCACCCAGGCTTGGGTGCAGTGGTGTGAGCTGGGCTTACAGCAACCTCCACCTGCTGGGTTCAAGCAATTCTCATGCCTCAGCCTCCCAAGTAGCTGGGATTACAGGTGCACGCCACCATGCTCAGCTAATTTTTGTATTTTTAGTAGAGACTGGGTTGGCCAGGCTGATCTTGAACTCCTGACCTCAAGGGATCCGCCCACCTTGGCCTCCTAAAGTGCTGGGATTACAGGCATGAGCCACCACACCCAGCTTGAATTGCTTTTTATATTACGCATGAATATTTTCTAATTTAACTATCAAATGAAACTCAAGAGGAGAATACATGCAGGCATAAGGGATTTTGCAGTTCCCTTCTGCAAAAAGATAGCCAAAGTATCTTTCCTTACTGTGGGGCTCTGGGTACAGGGTGGACTGTACTCAAGCCAGAGCTACCTGTCCTACTCTTTTCCTCAGGTCTGTAACATTGTGGCTGGGCAGCGCTGTATTAAAAAGCTGACTGACAACCAGACCTCGACCATGATAAAGGCCACAGCTAGATCCGCTCCAGACAGACAGGAGGAGATCAGTCGCCTGGTCAGTGGGCCTACTCATTTGCTCAGTCATTGGGGCTGTTGGTAGCATAAATGTTTTAATGCCCCAGCAGGACCTTCCTTTAGGAGAACCCAAGTCTAGATTTGTTGCCTAGGACTCTATAAGGCTGCTCTTGCTTCTTGACCCTATAGCTACTTTGCTTTCTATCCCTTTCTATCTCCTGAATTACTTTCCTGTGTTATTCCCTCTCACTTCCTCATCTTTTACTTTCCACCTCTTTTTAGGACTATTCTTTGCCAACCCCAGCTTCTTTTTAGCGTTCTTTCCTTGGGACCCAGAGGGTGAGCAGTGTTGCCAAGCCCCTGTTCTCCTGAGATTGCTCTTTTTTGTCCTGCAGATGAAGAATGCCAGCTACAACTTAGATCCCTACATCCAGGAATTTGGGATCAAAGTGAAGGATGACATGACGGAGGTGACGGGGCGAGTGCTGCCGGCGCCCATCTTGCAGTACGGCGGCCGGGTGAGCAGGGTCAGGGCCAGACAACATCTTGGGGAATATTGGGGTGGTTGGGTTGTATAGCCAGGGGCTTTTGCTCCCCTACCCACCTGACTCTACTGAGGCTCACCTGGACGCCCCCCTCTGCCTATCCCTAGAACCGGGCCATTGCCACACCCAATCAGGGTGTCTGGGACATGCGGGGGAAACAGTTCTACAATGGGATTGAGATCAAAGTCTGGGCCATCGCCTGCTTCGCACCCCAAAAACAGTGTCGAGAAGAGGTGCTCAAGTAAGGAGGGTATGGTGTAGGGGGTGGAGGGATGGGAAGGACCCTGGAGCTGCCTGCCTTCCCATAGTCCACAGGGGCTGATAATGATCAGTAGTGTGTTCTTTCTGTCTTGACTCTGCCTGCATTGTGCTTTCTGGCTCAAACTTCGACCAATTCCTTTTCTATCCATCTGTGGTCAGGGGAAATTAATAAGGAGCCATATCTATGTCAGAGATGATGATTTTAGGGCATGAATCTCCTAACAGAGGCCTGAATTATTTTATTGTTATAATTATTATTGGTAATAAATAGTAGTAGTGATGACTATAATGTTTATGCCACTATTGTACTTAAGTACCTAACTGATATCCTCTCATGTCATCTTTACAGTGAGTAGGTGGCGATATGTCCATTTTCAGGAGACTGAGGCTCAAAAGAGGTTAAGTAACTTGTCCAAAGTTTGCTTAACATCATCAGGAAAGTGTCAGAGTTGGAAGCAAATCAGATCTGAGCTTCAAAACTTGTGTACCTGATTGGAAACAAAATAGAGCAGCTTGTTCGGCTGGTTGTCAGGGCCTCTGCGCCACCTAGCTGAGGGGTTGGGAGTAGATGGCACCAGTGAGGAAAGCATTATAACCAAATGGTTTAAGGAAACCACAGAGTAATGACTTGAGAAGTCAACAACCCCTCCCCTGGAGTCTTTTTTTTTTTTAAGTTTTGCTGAGATAGGTTTAAAATGCTACAAAACTCAACAGTTAGTTGTTTTCTACATACAGCATACTGTTAGCTGGTTCCTGCCATCTTTTGAAGTGGTTGCTTCTCATACTCTCTGGATCTGGAGTGGGGTCAGTACACTCTAGGGATGAGGAAGAGTTGATGGAGCTGAACATTTTGGCTAGTGACAAGAGTAATGGGGAAGTATGCCATGATGAATTCAGCTTGCCTTAGAGTCATAATGAGAATTCGTTTTTGGCTGGGGTGCGGTGGTGTGTGCCTGTAGTCCTGGCTACTCAGGAGGCTGAGGCGGGATCTCGCCTTAGCCCAGGAGTTGACTGGGCAATACAGATCCTACCTCTTTAAAAAACAAACAAACAAACAAACAAACCTCTAGGCCAGGCGAAGTGGCTTACTCCTATAATCCCAGCACTTTGGGAGACTGAGGCAGGTGGATCACAAGATCAGGAGTTTGAGACCAGCCTGGCCAATATGGTGAAACCCCGTCTCTACTAAAAATACAAAACTTAGCCAGGCGTAGTGGTGCACACCTGTAGTCCCAGCTACTCAGAAGGCTGAGGCAGGAGAATCGCTTGAACCCTGGAGACGGAGGTTGCAGTGAGCCGAGATCGCACCACTGCACTCCAGCCTGGGCCACAGAGCAAGACTCCATCTCAAAAAAAAAAAAAAGTTCTAGCAGCTTCTGATGGATATGTGGACTATGGGCCCTGCCCTTGCTCTTCTTCCCTTACCCCTCACAGATACACAAACACCATCATAATCGTAGCTTCTTGTAAATGGGTTCTTGTCTCCTTTCCTGAGTTCTTTAGCCCCCATTTAAGCTAGGCTGCTTGGCAATATTGGAAAGGCTCCCAGTTTTTTGCCCTTGTGCCATAGTCACTTCATTGGTAGTTCTACTCTCTGTGCAATCCTGTCTTTTTCCCATGTCTTTCCCTTTTCCATTTCTTTTGGGATAATCTATTGTTTTGGCCATTTTAAGGGCATGGGCACCAATAAACGCAGAACCTCAAACTTGGAAGAGTTTATCAGGCATTCTCTTCTCCCAGTGACACCTAGTTGGAAGGGGTAGTAAGAATGTGGCTTGTGCCTCTGGGTCAGTAGTAGCCAGTTAAATCTGTGGTTCTGACTGGGCTAAAGGTAAAGATTTCCAGGTCATCTATGGCAGTGGCTGAGATTGTCCAGGGAGAATGTACATGGTAAGCAGAGATTGAAGATATAACTCAGAGAAACTGGAAGGTAAATAAAGCCAAGTAGTGATGGGATCCAGAGCACCAAGAAGGCATCCTTTCCACTGAGAAGGTAGGGTGAAAAACATGAAGGTGCTGTGGGGTTCAACAAACTAATAGTTGGGGGATGATGGATGAGAGAGTCCTAGATGCAACCCTCAAGTTTTTCTGGCCAAAGAGGCCCTATTACTTTAGCTATGTCACCTTTAGGATAGGATTTTAGGACCTTCTTCATCCATCTCACAATACTTTGTGACCCCCAGAACTGGACACAGTATTCCAAGTGTAATCTGGTCGTAAAGAGAAGATTGGAAATACCACTTTCCTTGAAGTTGAGACCCACTATTCCTGAAATCTAATAATATACTGGCTTTTTTGTAGCTAAATTGCAATTGTATGGAAGGCAGAGAAATGGAAAAAATACTGTTAATGGTCAAAGCCCTAGCTCTTATTTACATGAAATAGTTGTTAGGTCATGTTTTTTTATTCTAACATTCATTTTTAAATTTTTTTTTTGAGATGGAGTTTCACCCTTGTTGCCCAGGCTGGAGTACAATGGCATGATCTCGGCTCACTGCAACCTCTGCCTCCCAGGTTCAAGCGATTCTCCTGCCTCAGCCTCCTGAGTGGCTGGGATTACAGGCATGCATCACCACGCCCAGCTAATTTTTTTGTATTTTTAGTAGAGACAGGGTTTCTCCATGTTGGTCAGCGTGGTCTCGAACTCTTGACCTTAGGTGATCCACCTGCCTCAACCTCCCAAAGTACTGGGATTACAGGCGTGAGCCACAACCTGAAAATTTTTTTTAAGATAATAAATGTAGAGATTAACATGTATCCATCCAGTTTTGTCATATTTACCTTATTCTTTTTTAAATGTAAATATTACAGATAAATTCGATGTTCCTTCATGTCCACCCTAGTCCCATTCCTACCGTCTTCTTTTTTTTTTTTTTTGAGACATAGTCTCGCTTTGTCACCCAGGCTGGAGTGCAGTGATGCAATCTCGGCTCACTGCAGCTTCTGCCCCCTGGTTCACACGATTCTCCTGCCTCAGCCTCCTAAGTAGCTGGGATTACAGGCATGTGCATCATACCTGGCTAGGGTTTTTTTTTGTATTTTTAGTAGAGACAGGGTTTCACCAGGTTGGCCAGGATGGTCTCAAACTCCTGGCCTCAAGTGATCCACCCGCCTTGGCCTCCCAAAATGCTGAGATTATAGGTGTGAGCCACTTTGTCAGCTCCGTTCCTCCCTTCTGATGAAGCCACTATTATGAATTATTGTAACCATCTTATTCAATTTATATATTTTATATACCTATATATAAATGATCTAAAATTTTGCATAACAGCATCAGACTGTATTTACTTTTCGTGTGTGTTTTTACTAAATATGTGAAAAAAATACTTCTCACAAAACTATCGCTATTTATATGCTGTATAATATCTCCTAAACAGTTACTTCTGTTCTCTTCTTGTACATTATTGTTTTTAAATTTAAATGGAAGACTATCACAAATGAAATTTTCTGCTGCCTATCTCAGTTTTTGAGTATCTTTATGTAGCTTGATATTTTTACTCTATTGCATGTATATCCATCCTCTCTTCCAACTTTGTCTTCCTTTCCAGGGTAAAGCTCTAAAGCCAAAGGAAGGAAGCTTAATAATTGGCTCTTAGGTTTCAAAGAACCAGTTAAGAATGAGGGAACTCATTTTTACTGAGCATATCCTGTGCTCCCATCAGTGTTGGAACCTCACTTGTTTTGAGCAGAAAGGCCTTACATATGGGCATCTGCCTATTTCTTTGGACATATAATGGAGCACAGGAATCAGCTGCTTGAGTGGGGCAAGGTGGGAACCCTGAGAATTCCCATAGGTTTGCTTTCTAGGCTTTCTCATCTCCTTGCTTGTACCATGGAACACTTAGCAAGTGCTCTCTTAACTTAGTCAACTATAAATTTATTTTTTACATTAGCTATTATTGTGTGTCATTCATGTTAGAATCTCAGTGTTAGCTGGGTGCGGTGACTCATGCCTGTAATCGCTCTACTTTGGGAAGCTGAGGTGGGAGTATCACTTGAGTCCAAGAGCTTGAGACCAGCCTGGGCAACACAGTAAGATCCCATCTCTACCAAAAAAAGAAAAAAGTTAGCTAGGCATGGTGGCATGCCTGTAGTCCTGTCTACTCAGGAGGCTGAGATGGGATAATTGCTTTAGCCTAGCAGCTTGAGGCTTGAGTGAGCCCAGATTGTGCCATTGTACTCCATCCTGGATGACAGAGCACCTGTCTCAAGAAAAAAACCCGAAAAGCCAATCTCTCAGTGCCTCTCATAGTGCTAAGCACCTAAGCTGGATGGATTTTTGTTGGAAGAATTCAAGTGAGATTCACTGCCTCCTTTGTGACCGTGCTTGTGCTACAGGAACTTCACAGACCAGCTGCGGAAGATTTCCAAGGATGCGGGGATGCCTATCCAGGGTCAGCCTTGTTTCTGCAAATATGCACAGGGGGCAGACAGCGTGGAGCCTATGTTCCGGCATCTCAAGAACACCTACTCAGGGCTGCAGCTCATTATCGTCATCCTGCCAGGGAAGACGCCAGTGTATGGTACAGTTCTCTTGGGACAGTGATAATGATGATAGGACTCTTCTCAGGGTAGCTCCCTGGGGTCTCCTGGGAAGGACTCAGTCTAGATTCTTGGCTTTGACCAGAGCTGTTCCTTAATGTCAGCGCTCCTCTTATAGGAGAAATACCAGCATGTATGAGCCATTGAGTCATCCCAGATCCTAATTACCTGTACACACTCCTTCCCAGCAGCAATTACTGGGGTCCTTTGTGTGCTGGTCTTTTGGCAGGCTAAGCTTGGCCAGGTACAGAGATGGGTTGGTCCAGATTCCTATCCTTAGGAGGGTGTTGTTAATCTGGACATTGTGCAGCACAACCAAGCAGAATATGTGGTGGGTGGTAGTGTCTTGTTGCCTGGTAATTACTTGGAGCTTTTGAGAGGATTGCTGTCTCTCCTCTTTTCCTCTCATTTTTTAGAATAAGAATGACTCTGTAAATTTCTGGCACAGCACTTTTCTTTTATGCCATTTTCCCTTTCTTATCTCTTCTGCTTCAAAGGAATAAGAGTTTCTCTTGCCTTGCTGAACTCCTCTGTGCTCTTATTCCCAATCCATCCTGCTACCTTTGGGACTTCATATTTTTCAACCCTCAAATATATTCAGATACCCCACCCTAATCCACATTACCACAATCTTGCCATCTCTTTTAGCTTTTGTCTTCATATTTCCTTCATTAAACCTTTTGAGGCCTGGTACAGTGGTTCACACTTGTAATCCTAGCACTTTGGAAGGCCAAGGTAGGAGGATCATTTGTGCCCAGGAATTCGAGGCCAGTCTGGGCAACAAAGCAGGACCTCATCTCTGCAAAAAAAAAATAAAGTTAGTGGCCAGGCATGGTAGCTCATGCCTGTAATCCCAGCACTTTGGGAGGCTGAGGCAGGCGGATCACCTGAGGTCAGGAGTTTGAGACCAGCCTGACCAATATGGAGAAACCCCATCTCTACTAAAAATACAAAATTAGCCAGGCATGGTAGTGCCTGCCTGTAATCCCAGCTACTTGGGAGGCTGAGGCAGGAGAATTGCTTGAACCTGGGAGGTGAAGGTAGCAGTGAGCTGAGATTGCGCTATTGCACTCCAGCCCGGGCAACAAGAGTGAAACTCCATCTCAAATAATAATAAAATAATAATAATAATAATAATAATAATAATAATAATAAAGTTAGCTAGTCACGTTGTACACCTGTGGTCTCAGCTATTTGGGAGTCTGAGGCTAGAGGATCTCTTGAGCCCAAGAGGTTGAGGCTGCAGTGAGCTGCTATTGTGCCACTGCACTCCAGCCTGGGTGACGTAGCGAGACCTTGTCTCAAAACAAAACAAAAAAACTTTTTGAATGAGTTCTCTATATTTTCTATGCCCTATACCTCACCAGCCACTTATTCCTTAGCCTCTTTCATCCATCTTGCCTTCTGTCTGCCTTTCTCTTAAATCTCCTCTGCACAGGGTTGCCAATGACTTTTCTTAGTTGTCCTCTTGACTTCTGGATGCTTTCTTCTATCTCTCCTTATTTATTTTTGTCATTACCAGGAATCCATGATGTTCTACAAGTTCCTGTTGTCTGCCTTCTCATTCTGTCTTTACATTTTATTAAAATTCTCATTCATTTTGGTTGCTTCAATCATCACCTATTATTATTATATGTCATTAAAATCTTGATTCAGGCCGGGCGCGGTGGCTGACGCCTATAATCCCAGCACTTTGGGAGGCCGAGGCGGGTGGATCATGCGGTCAAGAGATCAAGACCATCCTGGTCAACATGGTGAAACCCCGTCTCTACTAAAAATATAAAAATTAGCTGGGTATGGTAGTGTGTGCCTATAGTCCCAGCTACTCGGGAGGCTGAGGCAGGAGAATTGCTTGAACCCAGGAGGCGGAGGTTGTGGCGAGCCAAGATTGCACCATTGCACTCCAGACTGGGTAACAAGAGCGAAACTCCGTCTCAAAAAAAAAAATATATTGATTCAGCCCTTGAACCCTCTGCAACTTCTTTCTGTCCCTTTGGCCTCTCTCCCTTTCTTCTTCAACACTTTAGTGATCACGTATTATATATGGAACACTTTGCAAGATCTGGATATATTGGTGAATAAAACAGATACAGTCTCTGCTCTTAGAAATTGTTTTGTTGGACCATCTCTTCAGTAGTTTTTCCTCTCTATAAACCCTTGTTTTTATTGCTACTGTATTTGACATCACAGTTGCTTCAGAGCACCTTTATTCAAACTTTGGAGACAGTTTGTCTTTGCTTCACCTTCGTTGTTTTTCTTCATATTTTTTCTCAAGATGATATGCCCTGCTCTTGAGCCACACTTCTCAGCTGAGTTCTGACCTTCCTTTTGTTGCCCAAGCTGGAGTGCAGTGGTGCAGTCTCAGCTCACCGCAACCTTTCCCTCCTGGATTCAAGTGATTCTCATGCCTCAGCCTTAAAAGTAGCTGGGATTACAGGTGTGCACTACCATGCCTGGTTAGTTTTTGTATTTTTAACAGAGATGTGATTTCGCCATGTTGGCCACGCTGGTCTCAAACTCCTGACCTCAAGTGGTCCACCTGCCTTGGCCTCCCAGAGTGCTGGGATTACAGGCATGAGCCACCATGCCCTACCTCAAGACTTTCTTGAATGGGTTCCAGGTAAGACTTCTTGTGACTGTACTACCAAAAAACTCTTCATTGGTGCCTATTACTGCATAAAGGGTTTTCGCGGACCTGATCTTAGTTTAACGTTTACAGCTTTATTTGCGCTGTTCACTTGCCACTCATGCTGGAATGATTGCTGGTTCTCGAATTGTAGAATATAACTGAGTTTGAATTTAATCCTGGCTATACCGGTCAACTGGCTTGGACACATTACCTAACCTTTCTGAGCATCATGAATTAATTATTTAAAAAGCAGAATCTAGCACAGTGCCTGGCATGTAGCTGACACTCTGAGTACTCATTTCTTGTCTGTGCTTTTCAATCTCTGGTTTTGTTCACGTCATTCGCCTTTGCCTGGATTATTTGCGTCCTCTTCTTGTGCCCCACATGGCCTTTAAAATTCTCTCCATCCTTTAATACCCAATTTAAACACTACTTCTTTTTTATTATTGGCATTCCACCTGGAGAGTGAACTTTTCTTTTTCTGGATACCTCTAGTTTATCAGGCTACTGATCAGTTACTACCTTGCTTGATACTTTGTTGCGGAATGGATCTGATTCTGCTCTGAAATCTTTCCTCTGTGTATGCATACCTAAGTTAGTGCCTTTCAGTGATATAATACTCAGTAATTAACTTATGGAGAGAAGTTGTTTGATCTTCAGTGCTTGTCTTTCTTGGGCCCTTGTATGGATGATAAGGATGCTTTTTAGGAGAACTTCTTTGAGTGAGTATTCATGTTTCTGATTTCCCTCCATTAAAGGGAAAATCCAGTGTTTTGGCTTGGGAATGGTACAGCATGCTTGGGAAAGACAGTACTTAATCAGAATTTTCCCTTTCCTGGGCTCAATTATATTATACTGCTCTCTAGCCTCAAGTATTTTATAGGGACTTTGAGTTTCTTTCATTTACATGCAGTTCCTTGATTATACCACCCGGACAATCTGACTGCTGCCCTTTTTCTGCTGGCTTAGTTCCTAGACAATGGAGTCATTTGCCTAGGAACTAAGCCAGCAGGAAAGAGCAGTAGTCAGATTCTTCTGAAGACTCTTCACCATCCCTCCTGGGGGGTTGGGTGAAATGGCCTCCTCCTTGTGATGATCAAAGCAAGGTCCCATTGGCATTTGGTTGCCCTGAGAGTATAGAAGGACAGTGTCACATTTGCCCCGCTCTGATCTGGTACTATCCCTATCTTGTCTTTAGTATATTTAATTGCTTCCTCTCCACTAAGTTGATATTATTGGGCTTTCTTAATGTAAACTTTTTATTGACTCAGATAGATAGATAGATAGATAGATAGATAGATAGATAGATAGATAGATATCTTACATGTTCAGCTTGGTGGTATTTCATAAAGTGTCACAACAGCATAACCAGCACCCAGTTCAAGTAGCAGAACCTTACCCAGTCATTACAACCTCCTACCAATGGTAACCACTGTTCTGGCTTCTAATACCATAGGTTAGTTTTGCCTGTTTTTAAACTTTATATAAATAGAATCATACAGTGTATAATTTTTGTGTGTGTCTGGCTTCTTTCATGCAACATTAAGTTGTGGTTTGTTATAGTTTTTCCATCAGATTAATATACCGTAATTTCTATTTATCCATTCTATTAATGGATTACTGTATTTGGATTGTTTCCAGTTTTTCACTATTAAAAACAATGTTTCTACGGCTGGGCGTGGTGGCTCATGCCTATAATCTAAGCACTTTGGAGGCCAAGGCGGGCGGATCACCTGAGGTCGGGAGTTCAAGACCAGCCTGACCAACATGGTGAAACCCTGTCTTAAAAAAATAAAAATAAAAATAATGTTTCGGTGAATACTGTTCAATGTGTCCTTTGAACATATATAACCATTTTTGTTGGGAGTATGTCTAGTAGTGGATTTTAAGTATGCCAATTTATACTTTTACCAGCTGTGTATAGGAGTTCTAGATAGTTCATGTCTTTACCAAACTTGGTATTGTCTTTTTCTTTTTTTCTTTTCTTTTTTGAGACAGAGTCTCATTTTGTTGCCCAGGCTGGAGTGCAATGATGCCATCTCAGCTCACTGCAACCTCTGCCTCCTGGGTTCAAGTGATTTTCCTGCCTCAGACTCCTGAGTAGCTGGGAGTACAGGCATGCACCACCACGCTCAGCTAATTTTTGTAGTTTTAGTAGAGACAGGATTTCACCATGTTGGCCAGGCTGGTCTCAAACTCCTGACCTCAGGTGATCTGCCCACCTTGGTCTCCCAAAGTGCTGGGACTATAGGTGTGAGCTACCACGCCTGGCCTTTTTTATCCTAGTCATTCTTCTGGGTTTTTAGTCATATTATTGCATTGTGCATTTAATTTGAGTTCCCTGATGACTAATAAAGTTTAGTATCTTTTTTTTTTTTTTTGGAGATGGAGTCTCGCTCTGTCACCCAGGCTGGAGTGCAGTGGCACTATCTCGGCTCACTGCAGCCTCTGCCTCCTGGGTTCAAGCAGTTCTTCTGCCTCAGCCTCCTGAGTAGCTGGGACTCCAGGCGCATGCCACTATGCCTGGCTAATTTTTTGTATTTTAGTAGAGATGGGGTTTCACCACATAGCCCAGGCTGGTCTCGAACTCCTGAGCTCAGGCAATCCGTCCACCTCAGCCTCCCAAAGTGCTAGGATTATAGGTGTGAACCACTGCACCCAGCCTAGTATCTTTTTCTATGTGTATTACACCTACCTTTTCTGCTCTGTAAGTTGCCTTTTTGCTTGCTTAATGCTGACTTTTGTTGAATAGAACCTATAAATTTTAATGTAGCCAATTTATTAATATTTTACCTAGTAGTTCTATGTCCTGTTTAAGAATCCCAGGGTCATGAAGGTATTATTTTAAGTTTTTTGAATGATTAAAAGAAAAAAACTTTCATATTTAGAACTAATCTATCTCTAAATGGAGCAAAAATTGTTGCTTTTCTTTTCTGTGGCGGTAGTGCAGAGCTTAGACTCTTAGCTTTCTACCCACACCTAGATTCAACAAATGTACCCAAGGTAAAAGCAACTGTAGAAGATAGTTCACCTCTGAGATTTTTTTTTCTCCCTCTCTGGAATTTTACCCCCTTAAAAAGGTGATTTTTGTATTTTATCTGGTTTTTCTGAACGTTGTCTGGAGAACTGGCTTGCCACTATTCCATCTCTCTTGGAAGTAGACATGATCATTTTAAACATGCTCAAATCTCTTCCACTGAAAGCATACCAAATTCTTCGTCAGCCCTGCATTTTCTTTCTGGGACCTTAAATCACCAAACAATTTTTGCCTCCATACGCTAAATTTTTTTTTAACCTTAATATCACTAATTCCAGAGGACCTTTCTGGTCCTAATTTTACTTCATCTCTTTGACACATTTCATTTTGTTGACTACCTGCTTTTTCTTGAAACATTCTCTTTCTTCCCTTGGCATTCGTGATACAACACTATCTTGGTCTTCCTTCTAGCTTTCTGGATTATTTGTACTTTGCTGATCATCTTCTTGTTCTGCCAAAATTGGGAGTTCCTCAAGATTCAGATCTAGGTTGTTTTCTCTTTTTACTGTTTTATCTTCCTTGGTGATCTCAAGAGCATCCCTTCAATTACTATCTGTACCTAAATATCACACAAATTTGCATCTCCATTTCAGACCGCACTCCATTTCAAACCACAAGACCCATTTGCTTAGTTGATATCCTTACTGAGATGACAAAAAAACTACTTCAGACTCAAAATGTCTCACAAATAATTTATGGCCTATTTTTATTTATTTATTTTTCCTAGACGGAGTCTTGCTCTGTATCTATTTTTACTTATTTATTTATCCAAGACAGAGTCTTGCTCTGTCACCCAGGCTAGAGTGCAGTGTTGTGATCTCGGCTCACTGCAGCCTCTCTCTCTCAGGTTCAAGCGACTCTCCTGCCTCAGCCTCCCGAGTAGCTGAGATTACAGATGTGCACCATCATGCCTGGCTAATTTTTGTATTTTTAGTGGAGACAGGGTTTCACCATGTTGACCAGGCTGGTCTCGAACTCCTGACCTCGTGATCCACCGGCCTTGGCCTCCCAAAGTGCTGGGATTACAGGTGTGAGCCACTGTGCCTGGCCAGCCGATTTTTATTGCAAAAGCTGGAAACTTAAAACTTATCCTTAAAATTTCTCTTTTCCCTTACTCACACATGTAGTGTATAATTTGAGTCTCTTAAATATCTGTGGAATCCATTAGTTTCTCTTCATCTCAACAACTCACCTGTCTTCTTAATCTCAGTTACCCTTATCTCTGGTAGGTCAGCCTAATGACCACATTCTTTCTCTTTCAACATGCTCCGCTTGCTCTTCTTTTTAGCTGCTATGGCCTTTCCATTTCTCAAACACAGCTATCTTCTAGCAGGGTGCATTTTTGCGTATTGTTCCCTCTACTTGGAATGCTCTCTCTCAAACTCCCTGTCTCCTCTATGTCCTTTGCTGTCCTTAGATTTCATTTTAATCATTACCTACTCGAGAATCCTTTCCTAACTAGATTTTTACTTCCTATTTTATGTTGTCATTGTTCCATGAAGTTTTCTGTTGTAGCATTTATCAGTGTTGTAATTTTCACGATTTTTAAAATTAGTTATATTTAGTAAGCACTATGAGAGTAGGGACCTTATGTGTTTCCTGTCATCGTGTTCCCTACTACCTCGTATACTGCCTGGCATCTAGTAGGCATTCAGTAAATATTTGTTGACTGCACTAATCATTTCTCTCCCCACCCCTAGCTGAGGTGAAACGTGTTGGAGATACGCTCTTGGGAATGGCTACCCAGTGTGTGCAGGTGAAGAACGTGGTCAAGACCTCACCTCAGACTCTGTCCAACCTCTGCCTCAAGATCAATGTCAAACTTGGTGGCATTAACAACATCCTAGTCCCACACCAGCGGTATGAACTCTGTTGTCCACTTTGCCCTTGTCAAGGTACCATGCTGGGGATTGATGAAGAGACAGGACCCTGGCCAGGCAGAGTAAATCAGACACAAGTGGGAGAAGAACAGAGTGGGTATTGGATGGTGCCAGCCAGAGAAGACCCAACTCCTCACCATTTTGTTTTCTCTTCCTTGCTCAGCTCTGCCGTTTTTCAACAGCCAGTGATATTCCTGGGAGCAGATGTTACACATCCCCCAGCAGGGGATGGGAAAAAGCCTTCTATCACAGCAGTGAGTGACATTATCTAGTTGCCTTATAAGGTTCTCCTCTTCATTCTGAGTCCTCAAAACTGCCCATGATTTCCTTCCCTCAGCTCTGGCTCTTGACCCTTCATAAGACCTTCTCCATTTAGCTCGCTATTCCCCTTACCCACTCCCTTGATACCTTCGTAAAGGCAGCTCTGTATGGTGTCTTTTTTCAGGGAGAGCATTGAGAGGGTAGCCAGAGACTTGGCTCATTCTGCATCACTCTTGCTTTGCATTTTGAATTTCCCTCTTTCTCCATGCCTGCTTTTGGGATGTAGGGGAGGGACTATATCTTCTCTGAAATCCCTTTAAAGGGAGTTACTTAGTTGCTGGGAAATATCCTTTCCTCTGCCCACCCTCACCCCGATCTGTGTAGTAGATTAGCTGTTTCTCCTATCTCTCTCCTGACTTTTGTACTCCTTGTCTCTTAGGGGCTTCCAAATTGCTAGGGATCAGACCTTCCTTCCCACTTATATTTCCTTAACTCTCACATTTCTGTAGGCACACTGGTCTTAACCTCAGTAAGTACTGGGAAACCCTATAATATTCTTATCTTTGTTTTCCTTGTGGCCATCCCTCCTAGGCTTTGGTCACCGTCCCCTTTGTAAATGGTGTTACTTCCATCAACCACAAGAACACTCTTACTATGGTCATGATTCCTGGATAGCTTAGCATTTGAATGGGAAAAAGGATAAACTTGGGACTGGATAAGGTCATTGTTTGATCTAGTAGTGCTAAACCTTCACATGCTCCTCTGCAAAGGGGAGGGAAATCAATTTATCAAGTACCTACTGTGGGCTAGGTCCTGTGTAAGGCACGTAATATGTACCACAGTAGCACTGCAAGCAGGTGTTCTTATCGCCATCTGAGAAGAGGGAAAAGATCAGATAGATTGAGTAACTTCTGCTTGTATGATAGAATAGAGGTTGAAACCAGGGCTCATTGAATCCCAAGCCCTACTCATTCAGTTGCAGTTTTCTTGCTAAGAACCCTTTCCGCAAACCCATAGCCTGATAGTGAGGGTGAAGGTTCTAGGGGCTAATCCTTTCTCTCTGTCAGGTGGTAGGCAGTATGGATGCCCACCCCAGCCGATACTGTGCTACTGTGCGGGTGCAGCGACCACGGCAAGAGATTATTGAAGACTTGTCCTACATGGTGCGTGAGCTCCTCATCCAATTCTACAAGTCCACCCGCTTCAAGCCTACCCGCATCATCTTCTACCGGGATGGGGTCCCCGAAGGCCAGCTACCCCAGGTAGGGCCCACAGCAGGTGGAGAAAACCTTCACGTCAAGGTCAGAAAGCTAGGTGCTATGACCTTTTCTAAGCTATTGGCACTGAGAGGTGTGTCACTTTTTAGGGAGCTTTGCTAAATGGGGTAGACTTGGGGGCAAGGATCGCAACTGCAGGGTGGAGTACACAAGCATCTACAGATTTTTCTTCTCATAATAGAAGACCCTCAGTGCCTATTTAAGTAGTTGGTTCATGTTGGAGACTGATTTTTTAGACCAGTGATTCTCAAGTGCTAGCGTACATCAAGATCGCCTGGAGGGCTTGTTAAAACAGTTTTAAGGGCTCTACCCATAGAGTTTCTGATTCAGTGAGTCTTGGATGTGGGCCACAAATTTACAATTCTGACAAGTTCCTAGCCTTCGCTGATAGTCTGGAGACTACATTTGAGGACTAATGCTGTTGACCTTCCTTCATAATATTCCTCCTATTCATTCTCACTGCCAGCCTTCATATATTTTTTTTACTTCTATCCTGAACTAGTATCCTTGACTACCATTTAATAGTATTATAATTACTATTCCAGTGAACTTCTTATGTGCCATGAACTGTGCTAAGCACTTCACATATATGTATATATTTTCTAAATCTAAGTGAGTGGAAACATATTCTGTTTAATGCTGTACGATAACCCTATGGAATAATAGTTTGTTTCCATTTAACAGGTGATCAAACAGGCTTGGAAATGTTAAATGATCCTTTAATGTCATCAAAGCTAATTAGGAGTGGAACTGGGATTCAGATACATTGGTCTGATTCCAAAGTTTATGTTCTTAACTGTTATGCCTAATTTCATTTTTTATTTTTATTTTTTGAGGCAAAGTCTTGCTCTGTCACCCAGGCTGGAGTGCAGTGTGATGTGATCTTGGCTCACTGCAGCCTCTACCTCCCAGGCTCAAGCGATTCTCTTTCCTCAGCCTCCTGAGTAGCTGGGACTACAGGTGTGAGCCACCACACCTAGCTAATTTTTGTATTTTTAGTAGAGACGGGGTTTCACCGTGTTGCCCAGGCTGTTCTCAAAATCCTGACCTCAAATGATCCACCCGCCTTGGCCTCCCATAGTGCTGGGATTACAGGGGTGGGCCACCATGCCTGGACATTGTACCCAATTTCTAATCCAGTATTTTCTAAAACGTCAGACACATTTATCATATCACATACCTGTTCACAAGTGTCTAGGGGCTTCATATAGCTTTGGGTTAAAATTCAAACTGCTTAGCAAAGCAATCAGTAGTTATTAAGCCCAGCTAGGTTTTCTATACTTTTACCTAACTGTCTGTCTTAGTCTTTATAACAGCTTTGTGAAGCAGGTCTTAGTAACATTAATAGACGTGGAGAAAATGAGACTTAGAGGGGTTGAATAACTTGCTCAATATAATACAAGTAGATAAAGCTTGGATTTAAATCTAATTCTAATTGATTCCAAAGTCTGTCCTTCTCTACCATACAGTTTTGACTCTCTATATCTGACATCCACAGTCACAGGCAACTATTGCCTATGATTGTTTACTTCTGGCTTTTCCCTTAGCTAGTCCATTTTCTTATAATACTGCTGCTTTGTAGGACTGAATTCATCTACTCCCTCTGCACCCATTCTGGAACTATATGTCTGTTCTTCTCTGGTGGTCACAACCTGTCTGTTCTTGGAGCCCAAAGGGGAATTCTCATTAGCCGTTTGATCCTGAGTGAAACTAACTTTGGGCATTGTGATTTTAGTGATTTATTTATGAACCTTGGTTCTGTGTCTTGATATTAGGTCTCTTGATACACAGGAACCAGATAAGTGTTGTCTTCTGATGCCAAGCCTCCTGGCCCTTTTTTTTTTTTTTTT